TTATATAATCAGGTTCTTTATGCCATTTTATGATTAGGATATTATAAGCAATCATGCATATTAGTACCAAGGGCATAAATGCATTTGGCTAACAAACTACCAGCAAAGGAGTTTAAATTAAAACACTCCTTTCACCCTGAATAATCTCATAAAATACCACCACCTGGGAAACTTATTGATTAAAGTTCTAAATTGATTCTTATTTGGGAAGAGATCAGGGAAGGCCTTCCTGCCTGTGTCAGAGAAATTAGGGAGCAGTCCATTGAGGCAGGCATCAGAAAGACAGATAGCATCTTTAAGGTGAGCGCCGGGGGCAGCTTTTCGAAATCCCTGAAAACCTGATCCACCTTGCCTGTCAGGCTTTCTCCTCGTGACCTTGTCATGGGTGGGATCTCGTGAGCTGGCCTTCTCGAAACCCCTGAAAACCTGATCCGCCTTGCCTGTCAGGTTTTCTCCCTTACAGCCTTGTTAGGGGTAGGGTCTCGTGTGTTGGCTCCCGGCAGTGGGACATGCTCTCTGCGCTCATAAGAAGCAAAAACAAAAACCCAATAATTTGTGGACCTAGCTTCACCATGCACTCCAGTACTCATGCCTGGAAAATCCCATGGACAGAGGAGCCTGGTGGGCTGCTGTCTATGGAGTCGCACAGTGTCGGACATGACTGAAGCGACTTAGGAGCAGCAGCAGCTTCACCATGTACGAACAAGAATACTCCCCTGCTCAACCCGGAGTAGGCTGATGATGGAATCGTGACATCTACTCAAGAAAGACAAGAAAGGTCCCCCCCACCACTTTTCCTTTGTAGCCCAGAAAGTTCTCGGAGGCAACACCCCCTTGTCTGCCCACTTGTAAGCCCCACAGGCGTCCTAGTCTAATAAATCTCTTCTCATCTACCTCTTGGCTCTCACTGAATTCTTCTCTGCATTGACACATGAAGGACTATGGTATCGGAGCTCTTCGGTGCCCCCCCAACCCCCCCGCCGAAATGACAGCAGTCGGCCTCACTGCTATAACAAACAGCAACATACTCAGTGACTCAAAGCAGCCCCGATTTACCATCTTCCAGTTCTAGAGGGCATCAGTCCAAACCGGGTCCCGCTGGGCTAAGATCACAGTGTTGGCAGGCTTCGATCCTTCTGGAGGCTCAAGCAGAGAATTCACTCCTTGCCTTTTCTCAGCTTTTCTGGAGGCTGCTGGCTTCCCTTGCCTCCTAAAAACCAAGTCGCTCTGAAACCTCTTGGTGTCACATCTCCTTTCTGACCCCGACATGCCTGCTTCTGTCTTCAAGGACCCCTGCGTCTGCCACGGGCAAATTGGGATGATCCAGAACAATGATCTCATCTCAGGATTCTTCACTAATCACCGCTGCAGAGTCCCATTTACTATGCGAAGGTCATGGATTCACAGGTTCTGGCAACAAGGAAGTGGAGACTTGGAGGGACTCTTCTGCCTACCACCAGTAGGAAGAGTGAGTCCCATCAAGAGGGAATATGTTAGTGTAAACTCCTGTGCTCAGCGCACAGTGAGGCCAAACAAACCGGAACGTCGGGGTTTAGAGCAGACAAAGGTTAGCTACAGGGTCAGGCAAGGAGATTGGGTGGCTCATGCCCTAAAAAGCCCTGAGCTCTGAAAAGTTTTTGGCAAAGCTTTTTGTTTATTCAAGTTAGGATACTTGGAGAAAGATCTTTATTTGCTCTGGTGGTGGTTTAGTCGCTAAGTCGTGTCCAAATCTTGGAACCCCACGGACTGCAGTCTACAGAACTGTAGTTGCTTTACCCAGCAGTAAAAATTATATAATTTTTTGTTATAGTTATAATTGTTATAACTACATGGTAAATCAGCTACAACAAAAATATGTTTTAAAACAAGGAACTTAGAACGAGAAGAGGGCCAGGGCAAGCCACAATAAGAAATCTGAATTTTTATCTAAGGGGAAAAAGAAGTGCCGTGTGAGAAATGCATTCATAACAGTGATATGGGAGCCATGCGAATCCCGAAGCCCATCTTATCTTGTGACTTTTCATATCTCACATTTCAGTGTTTTTCCTTGCACGTGAAAATGAGTGGGCAGGGAATATTTCTTTTTACAGCTGCTGTTGTTGGATCCTGCAGTGTATTTCCTCCTCTTCCCTAAGACTGTGCAACAGCCATTAAAACAAGGGAGCGCTGGGCGGGGCGGGGGCAGGGTAGTCTCCAGCCTCTACAGGGATCCTTCAGCCTGAGCCACCGTAATTCCTCACCCAGATTATCACGAAGGCCTCCCAAATGATTACCCTGTTTCTGTCTCACTCACCACCTCAACCACGTGGTCTCAACACAGCAGAGAGAGTCCTTAAAAATAGGATTGCCAGATTTAGCAAATTAAAACCCAGAATACCCAGTTAAATTTAAATTTCAGATCAACAACAACAACAAACATTTTTTAGCACAAGTTATGTCTCTCGCAGTTTCAGGGAGATACTTAATACTAAAAAAAAATTATTCGTTTATCTGAAATTCAAAATTAACTGGGAAGCCTGTATTTAATTGGTCAACCCTATTTTTAAAATTTTTTTTTGGCTGCAACAGGTCTTAGTTGCAGTGGGTGAGAGGGGGGCTTCACTGCCCCCAAAGCAGGTGAAATCTTAGTTCCCTGACCAGGGGTTGAACCCTTGTACCTACATTGGAAGGCAGATTCTCAACCACTGGACCACCATGGAAGTCCCAGGGCAACTTTATGTTAAAACCTGAGTCAGATCACATCCCCAGTTTTGAAACAGAGCAGCCCTACGTCCTCAGAATGAATAAAAGGGATCTTAATAAGCCTCATCCCCTACTTTTTCTTTCTTATAACCTCATCTCCCACTTCTTCCCCAACCACACTGGCTTCCCAGGTTACTCCTCAAACACACAAGGTGCTTTTCTGCCTTAGGTCTGTGAAGTGGCTGTTTCCTCTTTCTAAAATGCCCGGCCTCCAGATAAAGGCATAACTCTTAATAACTTTCTCACTTCCTTCAAGTCTGCTCAGACATTGTAAGCAACGAGTGAGCTGTGGGAGCTTATGTGGGGGGAGGCGAGGACAGGCGTTCCCCCATAACCTCTGCCTCAGCTCTGCTCTGAAGTACCCAGGTGGTAGTACTTGGCGGACACTTCCTGAGCTGTTTTGCAGATGTGAAAACCCTCCACCAAGTAGAAGATGTTCATTGCTTGATGGTCATGAGCACAGAACTCCAGGCCTCCTGGAGCCCCAAGACTGATAAAGTGAACCCCGGCGAAACCGCCCTGTGACCTCACCATCAGCCGATCAGAGAATCATGCAGGAGCTGGTCACACACCCCGTGACCCACTCCCCTCACCTGGCTTTTTAAAAAGCTTTGCCGAACCCATTCTAGGATTCTGTCTGGAAAATCCCATGGACAGAGGAGCCTGGTGGGCTACAGTCCCTGGGGTCACAAAGAGTCAGACACAATTGAGCATGCTACAATTATATATGTTATATATATATATAATTATATGTATATGTTATATGTATATAATAATATATATTATATATACAATATGTTATAACTATATATTGCTATAGTTTTTTTGTTGTAGTTGATTTACCATGTTGTGTCAGCTTCTACTATACAGCAAAGAGAATCAGCCATACACATACATGGGCTTGTCAGGTGGCGCTAGTGGTAAAGAACCTTCCTACCAATGCAGAAGATGTGAGAGATGCAGGTTTGATCCCTGGGTCAAGAAAATCCCCTGGAGGAGACAATGGCACCCCACTCCAGTATTCTTGCCTGGAGAACCAACCCCATGGACAGAAGAGCCTGGTGGACTACGGTTCATAGGGTTGCAAAGAGTCAGACGTGACTGAAGACAACTTAGCACACACACATACATATACCCCTTCTTCTCTTGGGCTAAGTTCTGACCAGCCTTCCCTGCTCCAGCCACAATGGCTGGAACTAGAATGTGCCAAGAACTAGAAGTTTAGAACTAGAACGTGCCAAGCTCGCTTCTGCCTCAGGGCCTTTGCACTGACTGTACCTTCTGCCTGAGATGTCATCCTGCTTACATTTCTCATGGCTAGAGAGTTCACAGCCTTATTTATTTATTTTGCTGTGTTGAGTCTCCGTTGTGATGTGTCGGCTCCAGAGCACACAGGCTCAATAGTTGCAGTGTGCAGATTTAGCTGCCCCGTGGCACATGAGATCTTAATTCCCAGACCAGGGACAAAACCTGCATCCCCTACATTGGCAGGTGGATTCTTAGCCATCAGGCAAGTCCTAGTTCACAGCCTTTAATTCTGAGTCGAAACAGATTTCCTTCAAAGCTCTCCTTGGACTTCCCTGGTGCCCCCTGCTCACAACTAGAAAAACCCCATGAGCAGCAATGAAAACCCAGTGCAGCCAGAAATAAAACCAATTAATTATTTTAAAAAGAAATAGCACGCCCACACAATTAAAAGAAGAAATTACTCAAGTCACCCACCCTTGTTAACATTTTGATGGAGGTCACCTTACATTTTCATGTGCATTTATTCATGAATTCTTTTTTTTAAGAAACTTTTTCATTTTTAAAGTCTTTATTAAACTTCTTTTGTTACCAGTTCCACATTGTTTCAGTCTTATATTTAGAGCTTTTGACTGTGAGGTACAGTGGGGTCTTAGCTCCCCAACCAGGGATTGAACCTGCACCCCTTCCGTTGAAAGCAAGGAGTCTTAAACCCTGGACCACCAGGGAAGTCCCTAGAAGAGTTGTTTTGTGGGCTCTTAGTTCCTGACTATGGGAGCCATGCTCCCCACATTGGGAGCCCGGAGTCTTAATACCTGGACCACCAGGGAAGTCCCTAGAAGAGCTGTCTTGTCTTGTTTCCCCGTGTTTGTTTACAAGAACCTTGGCAGAGCCGTGGGTCCCATTCTCTCTTCAGCATAGGAGTGTGGTGAGGTCGATGCTTACTCTTCTCAAGCCTCAAGCGGGGAAAAGCTTCACCTGGATCATTCGGAGCACTGAACACGGGAAGAGGCTCAGGACCCAGAGAAGAACGGCATCTCGCTCGTGGCTGAACTATCTCCGCGGCCCCAGATTGTGCTAACGGCCTGGAAGGCGTTGAGGGGGAACAGCCTGGAGAAGAGCGAAGGGGGAGAAGGGAAGAGGAGGCGAGGGGAAGGAGAGGGAATAGAAGATAGGGGTTTTATAGGCTTTACGGGAGCGCCATCTGGAGGTGGCAGGTGAACTCTGCCGAGGCACGCTGGAAATGCAACGATGAACGCCCCCGACCTCCCCGCCCAGACCGAGGGTTTCCTCCCTGGAGGAGACGCACCCAGAGGCATCAGACGAGAAAACTGCAGCCTCGAGAGGGAGGAGGAAGAGGAGCAGACGCTCCAGGTAGGGACGTCAATAAAAAGCTGACCATGCCCGCGGGAGCCGCAGGCAACTTGCCAGAAGCGTTGCAATGACTGAACTGACACAGATTTTTTCCTTGCATGTGACTTTTAAAAAAGGACTGAAAGTCTTCATCATCTAAGATGACTGTAAAAGTCATGAGATTTGTTTTAGGTGTCCCTCAAGGACACAGAGAAGGAAATGGCAACCCACTCCAGTACTCTTGCCTGGAGAATCCCATGGACAGAGGAGCCTGGTGGGCTATAGTCCATGGGGTCGCAAAGAGTTGGACACAACTGAAGTGACTGAATACACATGCCTAGTTGATTCACAATATTGTGTTAGGTGCGGGAATACAGCAAAGTGATTCAGTTTTTTTTTTTTTTTTCAGATTATATTTCACTGTTCCTGCATTCCTGTGTGTGTGCTCAATCAGGTTGGACTTTTTGCGACCCCATGGACTGTAACCATGGGATTTTCCAGGCAAGAATAATGGAATGGGTTGCCTTTCCCTTCTCCAGGGCATCTTTCCTACCCATGTCCCTCTTACGTCTTCTGCCTTGGCAGTCAGATTCTTTACTGCCAGCACCACCTGGAAAGCCTCATAGTTCCCTGTGCTATACAGGAAATCCTTGTTGCTTATCAATTTTGTGTACAGTAGCTTATTTTTTTGTGTGGACCATTTTTAAAACCTTTATTGAATTTGTTGCAATATGGCTTCTATTTTCTGTTTTGGATTTTTGGCACCGAGGCACGTAGTATCTTAGCTCTCCGGCCACAGATGGAACCTGTGCCCCCTGAATCTTGGCCTCTTCTCCAGCGTGTCCCACATGGAAGACACGAGTTAAGAAAACAAAACTGGACTACACTTGCTATGGCATTTGTGATCCCGGAAAATAAAAGGTCAAGAATCACTCCTTTTAAATTAAAGACTGGTGACTCAGACGGTAAAGAATCTGCCTGCCCTGGAGGTGACTCGGATTTGATCCCTGGGTTGGGAAGATCCCCTGCAGAAGGGAATGGCCACCCACTCCAGTATTCTGGCCTGGAGAATTCCATGAACAGGGGAGCCTAGTGGGCTACAGTCCGTGGGGTCGCAAAGAATCGGACATGACTGAGTGACTAAGCACACGTGGACATTTAAGGAGGATAAATACCAGAGCAGATGTCCATAAAAGACATCTATTCCGGCCACTGATTTTTTTTTTTTAATTGGAGGGTAATTGCCTTACCATGTTGTGTTGGTTTCTGCTGCCCAGCAAAGTGAATCAGCTACAAGTATGCATATATCCCCTCCCTCTGCAACCTGCCTCCCACCCCTGCGTCAGGGACACTGATTTTAATAATATTTGACAAGATTCTTTGGTCAGAACAAAATCCCTTCTCAGACTAGCTTAGATACAAAGGACTTTTCTGGATTTTTTTTTTTTTTTTTTTTTGGTTTTGGTGTTGGCTCAGAAGGCTCCCAGAATGATTGAACAAGAAAGCAGTAAGGAGGGAAGAAATGCTGTTTCAAAAGCCATCTGAAGCCAGATACAAAAGCTTGAAGGCACAATCACTCCGTTTCCTTTTTCCGAAGTTCTCTGAGTCATCTTCGTGTTTCTCGCTAGAGACGGGCTTCCTCCACATGGTGAGACAGATGGCCCCCCAGAGTGCCCAGGTTTCAAAGAGGATGACTTTTGGGGCAAGAGGAAAGGGGAGGCACCCCCCACCTCCATCCTGATCGTCGCCGCTGTGACTTCAGCACCTTGGCACCGGGGAGCTGGGTAGCTCTGCTGGGAGGGGAGCCAAGTGAGTTCTTCAGATGAACCATCGATGGAGGTTGAAGCTGAGATGCTCACAGGGTCAGCTTGCAGGGCGAAGGGGACCTTGAATTCAGAAGGGGACCCGCGCTTGGGTCCTGACGCTCTGCAATCGCCATCATGGTTTTTTTTTTTTTAATTTAAATATTTATTTATTTGGCTGTACCAGGTCTTGGTTGCAGCATGTGGGATCTAGTTCCCTGGAAGTGTTAGTCGGTCAGCCATGTCCAACTCTCTGCCACCCCATGGACTGTAGCCCAGCTGGCTCCTCTGTCCATGGGATTTCCCAGGCAAGAATACTGCATTGGGTTGACATGCCGTCCTCCAGGGGATCTTTCCAACCCAGGGATCGAACCTGGGTCCTTGTTCTCTGACCAGAGGTCAAACCCTGACCCCTTGCATTGGGAGCACGGAGTCTTAGCCACTGGACCGCTAGCAAAGTCCTGGCCATCGTGAAGTTCTTCTTCTTACGCTGTTTTTTTTTTTTAACATACTAGTCCATCCTAAAGGAAACCAACCCAGAATATTCATTAGAAGGACTGATGTTGAAGCTGAAACTCTAATACTTTGGCCACCTGATTCGAAGAGCTGACTCATTGGAAAGGACCCTGAGGCTGGGAAAGATTGAGGGCAGGAGGAGAAGGGGACGACAGAGGATGAGTGGTTGGATGGCATCACAGACTCGATGGACATGAGTTTGAGCAAGTTCCAGGAGATGGTGAAGGACAGGGAAGCCTGGCGTGCTGCAGTCCATGGGGTCGCAAAGAGTCGGACAGGACTGAATGACTGAACTGAACTGCATGTGTATTTATCTATTTGGCTGTGTCAGCTCTTAGCTGTAGCCCGTGGGATCCTCACCGAGTCAAGCTGGATCTTCCACTGTGGCACACGGGCTCTCTAATTGTGGCATGTGGGCTCAGGAGTTGCAGCTTGAGGGCTTAGCTGCTTCACTGGCATGTGAGATCTTAGTTCCCACACCCGGGATCGAATCGGCGCCACCTAAACTGCAAAGCGAATTCTTAACCACTGGACCACCAGGGGAGTCCCAGTGGTGAAGTTCTTAATCTTATATCTCTGTGCTTTCTTGGCAGGTTCCAATGGAACCATGGAGCATATGCTGAGAGCGTCTGCATCCCCTAGCCTCGCTGCCTCCCTGCTTCCCCGTATTCAGGCTGCTTTAGCAAAATGCCACAGCCTGGGGAGGCTGGAACAACAGACGTCTGTTCTCTCACACTTCTGAGGACAGAAGTCCACAGTCAAGGTGTGGGCAGCGTTGGTTCCTCGTGTTCCACGCCTCTCTCTGGCATCTGGTGCGTCCCGGGGGGAGCGTTGGCGTTTCTTGGCTCCTAGACGCATCACCGCGACCTCTGCCTTCAACATCACATGGTGGTCTCTCCCGGTGTGCGTGTGTGTCCCGGGTTCCCCTTTGACAAGGACGCCGTCCAACCGGTTGAAGGCTCACCCTACTCCAGGATGACCTCATCCTCTTATTGATGTGCAATGACCCCTCTGCAAGTAAGACCACATCTGAGCTACTGGGGGCTTGGGACTTAAAGATGTGGGTTTGGGGGGTAGAAAAGTCAACCGGTAACAGTGTGCTCTGGTGTGTGATTGTGTATGTGTAGAGGCTGTGTGTAGCTCCCTCAGTGGATGTGTTAGAAGAGTGTGTTTGGCAAGCTCTATTTTTTATGTTTTCTTTCTTCTGTCTTACAGTGAACGTGGAAACAGGCTTTATGTTTATTTCCTTCCTTTTCAAAAGCAAAGTCATAGTTTGGATATAGTTAACAGGGCAAGTCCATACAGAAAAAGTCTTTTATTTGTAATTTATGAAAGCCCCGTGTTTGAATTTTTCTTAACGAAACCCTTTGGCAAGCCTTATTGTTATGCCCACTGTTGTTACTTTTATATGGCAACAATTGTGACATCAAATATTGTAATTTGACTGATGCTGAAGCTCCAATACTTGGTCTACCTGATGCGAAGAGCCAACTCGTTGGAAAAGACCCTGATGCTGGGAAAAATTGAGGGCAAGAGGAGAAGGGGACGACAGGGGATGAAATGGTTGGATGGCATCACTGACTCAATGGATGTGAGTTTGAGTAAACTCTGGGAGACAGTGAAGGACAGGGAAGCCTGGCATGCTGCAGTCCATGGGGTCGCAGAGAGTTGGACATGACTTAGCCACTAAACAACAATGACATCAAAATACTGTAGGGTGATTATAGTTCAGTACTTTCTAATTCATCTGTATTTTAGTTAATTATTAGAGATAGGTGCATGCGTGCTTGCTAAGTTGCTTGAGTCGTGTCCAACTCTTTGTCACCCTATAGAGCATAGCCCACCAGGCTCCTCTGTCCTTGGGATTCTCCAGGCAAGACTACTGGAGTGGGTTGCTGTGCCCTCTTCCAGGGGATATTCCCCCCAGGGGTCGAACCCATGTTTCTTACGCCTCCAACAGTGGCAACTTTAAACCAGAGCCAGCACTGCTATCAGTGCTTCTTAGAAAAAGACAAATCCCTTTGACTCTGACCATCTGATGTCCCTTCTGCTTCATCTCTGGATATCCTGTCTATCACATAGCTACCATTTCTGGACAGAAAGATACCAATCACATCCTCTGTTATTATTCCTGATAACTGGCCATGCGATAACCAAAGATAAGGCTTGGGGGTTTCCTCCTTTATGTATTAGCTGTAGTAACCGCATGAGCAGAATCTTGGCTTCTTCATCTGTTTGGTTTTCCTGAGGTTCAGGTTATAAATGAAAGGCAGGAGAAACGCTTGCTTGCTTTCTTTGGCATTTAAAATTTTTTAAAGTTGTGTTTCTAGCATCTTCCAAAGATAGCCAGTAATATCTTTTTCTAAATTGATCCAGTAAGTAGGAGCCCTTTCCCCACCCCCACCCCCAGCCTTTACCTCTTTGGCTGAAAGTCTGCAAGGCTGTGAGCCTAGACTCGTCACTATCAATTCCAGACTCAGAGGGACAGCTGGTATGAATAATAATGATAACACAGAAATAGAATAGATGAGAGACGTAAGGGAAAAAATAGCATTTGGGTATGTGGATATAGTTGTCTGAGGCTATCTCCAGCGTCTTTTCCTTAGTTTGGTGACGTGATTCGGTTCCTTCCCTCCCTCCTTCCTTCCTGCCTTCCTTTTCACCTTCCTTCCTTCTCTCTTTATTGTTTTAAAGTCTTTTCAAGTTAGGTTTTTCAGCTTGTCATTTCTATCCAAGTATCTGAGCTATGCTGGCAATGGAAGGTGGTGCAGATGAAACAGAAATGGTCATATTTCATCAAATTGAAAGCACAGCTAGGACGAAAAGGAACAAGCCTTTCATCAAGAGGTCCTGGGGGCACGTCCCTCCTTTTAATAAATGATCCTGGGTGATTTCCCTAGTGGTCCAGGGGTTAAGACTCTGCACTTTCACTGCTGGTTGAGCTTGTTCGATTCCTGGTGAGGGAGCTAAGATCCTCCATGCTGTGCGGTGCATCCAAAATTTAAAATAAATGAATAAATAATAAGAAGTACTGGGACAGTTGATTATCCAGACGGAAAAATTAGACCTTTACCCCAGTCCTTGGCAAAAATTAATTTCAGATGGATTAAATATGAGAAACAAGCTTTTTAAAATTGAAATTCAGAAGAACATATAAGAGAGTATTGGAAAAGGAAATGGCACCCTACTCCAGTATTCTTGCCTGGGAAATCCCACAACAGAGGAGCCTGGCGGGATACAGTCTATGCAGTCGTGAGAGTCAGACATGACTTAGTGACTAAACCACCTCCATCATGAGAGAGTATGTTCCCGAATGAAGCTTCCAGACACAAAGAAGTCTCTCAAAATGTAAATAAAAAGATGAATTACTTAGAGTAACTAATATTAAAAAATACAAAGAAGAATGAAAATATGAATCAGACTTAAGAGAGTCTTTGCAATCGATAGCTTACCAAGGGCAGGTGTGCCTGCTATGTACTTATGCCCTTTAAGTCAGTGAGGAAAATATTAATACCAGCTATTCAACAGAAAAGTGAACAATGGCTAGATACCATCAATTCACAGCAAAGAAACCCCAAATGGTCAATATTCCTCATTTGTAATCAGGAAAATGCAAATTAAAACAACAACGAGTTATCTTTATATACGCAGCTTAAAATAGGTTTTGTTGTTCAGTCGCTCAGTTGTGTCTGACTCTTTGCGACCCCATGGACTGCAGCATGCCGGGCTTCCCTGTCTATCACCATCTCCCAGAATTTGCTCAAACTCTTGTTCATTGAGTCGGTGATGCCATCCAACCATCTCATCCCCTGTCATCCCCTTCTCCTTCTGCCTTAAGTCTTTCCCAGCATCAGGGTCTTTTCCAATGAGTCAGTTCTTTGCATCAGGTGGCCAAAATATAGGATACCAGCTCACATATTTTAATCAACAAAATTTACAAATGTGTGTGTGTGTGTGTGTGTGAATTGGTAATGACTCAAGGAATTGGAAGCTTATATATCCTTGGTGGAAGAATAAATGGGGGAAACCACCTTAGTTATCAATTTGCCTTTTCCAGTGGGATGAAAGTTGTGGATGTCACAGAAGACAGATTTTACTCCTAAATATAAACCTCAAGAGATCACAAGAGATGTGAGCAAGAAGGCAGGTTCCAAAGATGTTTAACTGCAGCATTTTGCTGACAGCAAAGCAGGAAAAGAACCCAAATATCTAGCAGTCCAGGAAGGAACAAAGGGAAGCCATGGTTTGTGCATACAACCAAGTGCTTTTTAAAATTTTCTTTTATTGAGATGTAATCACATACCATAAAACCTGCGCTTCTAAGGTGTATAGTTCAGTGGTCTTTATTCACACGGCTGAACAACCATCACCACTGACTAATTCCACAACACTGTCATCAACCCAAGAAGATACCCGTACCCGTTTCTAGTCACTCCCCCTTTCTCCTTCTCTCCAATTAATGGCAACCATTAACTGCAGCCATTAATCCACTTTCTCTGTCTAAGGATCTGTCCATTCTGGATATTTCATATAAATAAAATGCCTATGATGCACAGCTTTCTGTGTCTTAGCATAATGTTTCCAAGTGTCATCCAGGTCATGGCATGTACCAGTGGCTCATCCTTTTTTGGGGCTGAGTAATATTCCATGGTATGGTTAACAACTGAATTCTGTGCAGCAAACAAGGAAATAAATCTTCAAAAATCACCTGGATGAATTTCAAAAGCATAATGTTGACGGCAATAAAAAAAATGGTGACAGAATTGTAATGATGACTCCCTATGTTTGTATAATATAATAACAATAAAATATAATGTACTGACTATTTATAGATGCTTGAGGGGTAAAAGTATGAAAAAATCCATTAGTATAATATATACTACTCTGAGTAATGTTGACCTCTTAGAAAAAGAGGGAGGGAAATAGACTGGGAGGGGTAGAATAAAAACACAGCAAAGTGTTCATGGTTTGAAAATAAGGTCAGTGTGCTTATTTCCACTTATATTTTGGGGTGTTTTTCTTTATGACAGAAGTGTTTCATAGTTTAAAAACTTGAAAAAAAGTTATCTAGGGAATTCCCTGGCAGTCCAGTCGTTAGGACTCCAGGCTTTCCCTGCGAGGGCAGGTTCAATCCCTGGTAGGGGGGCTAAGATCCCACAAGCTGAAGGCACACCCGAAAAAAAGAAGCTTATCCAGTGTATGCTGCTGAGTGAAGAATATTCATATATACATTCCAAATATTTATACTTTGATCCATTCATATATTTTAAAATGACTTTCAAACCTGATTGAGTGATGCAACTTTGGAAGCAAAGCTCATATACATGTGCTTATACAGAAGCAGTTATTCGGTACCACTGTCATCTACACAAAAAAGTCCACATTTAGAAAAAAATCCTTAAAATGCTGTATTCACATGAGTTAATTAAGTTATGGGTGCCAAGTGACAGAATCCACATAGATTCTGTAAGTCTAACTTTATTGCAGCCTTTGATTTTAATAAGAATAAAAACAGAAATGTGATGGCAGTAAGAAAACACTTTCATTCTTAGCAGAGAGGAAACTGGTCTTGAGACTAGAGGGCTTGAAAGAATCAGGAACCAAACACTTTCAGCCATTTTCCTAGGTGTGTGCTACTTTGGGATGCTTTTTGTTAATTCACAAGTATCTCCCTCCAGGGCCATTTTTTCTGCTCCTTTTGTGAAATCCCTGTGTCTGTGGGGGCATGTAGTCTTTTCTGAGGAACATTTTCCATTTGCATGATGTCGTCCTGAACTCCCTAAGTGAATATTCCCAGTCCCACCAGCCTGTACATACATTACGTATTCTTAGCCTATGATTTCATTCAAACCCTCCCTGGTGGGTCAGAGGGTAAAGAATCTGCCTGCAATGCAGGAGACTGGGGTTCAATCCCCTGGGTCAGGAAGATCCCTTGGGAAAGGAAATGGCAACCTCCTCCAGTATTCGTGCCTGGGACACCCCATGGGCAGATGAGCCTGGTGGGCTACAGTCCATGAGGTCGCAAAGAGTCGGACACAACTGAGCGACTAACACTTTCATACTAAGGTTACACTCCAAGTCTCGTGAAAACTCACCCCATAATTTATGAGAGGAGGGGAAGCAAGAAGGGAAACATAATTCTATTATTATGAATAAATGTGCCAAGGACAGAGTCACCTGGATTTTCCCAAGTCCGGTCATCCCAGCCATGTTAATCCATACTCTCCCTCCCAGAGAAAAGCTCTTCTCTCAGTCCTACACCTTCACCGTTATGTAGTCACAAGAACTTGGGGTCTCCTCGGCAGGGACAGAAGCTGCCCCGGACAGCACTGTGGTGTTTAGCTGGGCGTAGGTCACCCCATCGGGCTCTTCAGGCTTTGGGGAGAAGAGAGACAGGCTTGTAGAGCTGAACTTTGCAGTAGAGTGGCCAGGAGCCACACATGGCCATTCAACTGCAGACAAATGTCAGCTAAATTCAAGCTGAGGTCCTCAGTCTCACCAGTTGCATTTCAGATGCAGCGGGAGGCTGGGATATGTATGGGACAGCACAGCTGTAGACTGTTTCCCTCATCTCAGGAAGTTCTGTTGGACAACACGTTCTGGGATGGCCGTGCTTTCGACTCCCATAACAGGATACCATCAAATCAGTGGTAACATGTGCTTATTAAAAATCAGTGCAAACGTATGGTTTTGAGAATAAGAACTGCCCTCCTATATGCATACCTACTGATGACATAGTATTGTATTTTAAAAAATAATGTTGCTGAGATATAATGTATATACCATAAAATGCCCCTGTGATAAGTGTATAGTTCTATGACTTTTAGTGAATTTGTAGAACGATGCAACCATCACCACCGTACAGCGGGAGAATATCCATCGCCCCACAAAAGTTCCCTGTGCTTGTTTGCAGTTAAGCCTTGCTCTCCCTGGCCTTCACCCCCACCCCAGCCATAAGCAATGACTAATTTGCCTTTCCTGGAAATTTTATGTAAATGGAACAATTTTATATATAGTTTTTTGTATCTGAGTTTTTTCACCTAGCAAACTGTTTTTGAGGTGCAGTCACTTCTCATGTATATCTGTAATTTCTTCCTTTTACTGCTGAATAGTATTCTGTTGTATGGAGGGATCCCATCACAACATGACATTATCATAATATAATTATCAACAATGTGCTAATCAAGGTCATTAGGCCAACACTTAAAATAGCCCAGATTTAATCACTGACATTTACTTTGTGATAAATTATGCCTTTCCATTACTTAATATTTATATATATATATATATATATATCTCCAAATGAATGCAATGTACATAAATATTGCTTTAAACACAACAATGTTTAAATCTTTTACTAATTTTTTTTTTTTTTTTTTTTGCCAGTAGCTTGCAGCATCTTAGTTGCTGACCAGGGATTGAACCTGGGCCCTCGACAGTGAAAGCACCGAGTCCTAACCACTGGATCACCAAGGAATTCCCTGCTAATGCTTTTATTTAACTTGCTTTGGCTTCAAGAATGAGCCAGTGAACCTCTGTGCCCTGTGGGAAAAGGTGTGAATTTTACTTGCTATCGCACTTAGATGTTATAATGCTGATTAATATTAAATCACAAATAAGCAGTATTTTAGGGGCCGGTGGCTCAGTGGTAAAGAATCCACCTGCAATGCAGGTGATGCAGGAGATGCCAGTTCAATCCCAGGGTTGGGAAGATTCCCTGGAGGAGGAAATGACAACCCATTCCAGTATTCTTTGCCTGGGAAATCCCATATAGAGAGGAACCTGGGGGGTTACAGTCCATGGGGTCACAAAGAGTTGGACATATCTGACTGACTGAGCACGCACCCAACAAGCAGTATTTTAAACAGAAAAAAATGATGGATGTAAATTGATGGATGAAGCACAAACTGGAATCAAGTTTGCCAGGAGAAATATCAATAACCTCAGATATGCAGATGACACCACCCTTTTGGCAGAAAGTGAAGAACTAAAGAGCCTCTTGATGAAAGTGAAAGAGGAGAGTGAAAAAGTTGGCTTAAAGCTCAACATTCAGAAAACTAAGATCATAGCATCCGGTCCCATCACTTCATGGCAGATAGATGGGGAAACAGTGGCTGACTTTATTTTTTTCGGGCTCCAAAATCACTGCAGATGGTGATTGCAGCCATGAAATTAAAAGACACTTACTGCTTGGAAGGAAAGTTATGACCAACCTAGAGAGCATATTAAAAAGCAGAGACATCCATGGCTAATTCATTTCAATGTATGACAAAAACCACTGCAATGATGTAAAGTAATTAGCCTCCAACTAATAAAAATAAATGAAAAAAAAATAAAAAAATAAATTTAAAAAAATAAAAAGCAGAGACATTACTTTGCCAACAAAGGTCCATCTAGTCAAGGCTATGGTTTTTCCATTAGTCATGTATGGATGTGAGAGTTGGACTATAAAGATAGCTGAGTGCAGAAGAATTGATGCTTTTGAACTGTGGTGTTGGAGAGGACTCTTGAGAGTCCCTTGGAGAGCAAGGAGATCCAACTAGTCCATCCTAAAGGACATCAGTCCTGGGTGTTCATTGGAAGGACTGATGTTGAAGCTGAAACTCCAATATTTTGGCCACCCGATGTGAAGAACTGACTCATTTGAAAAGACCCTGATGTTGGAAAGATTGAAGGCAGGAGGAGAACGGGATGACAGAGGATGAAATGGTTGGATGGCATCACCAACTCAATGGACATGAGTTTGGGTAAACTCCGGGAGCTGGTGATGGACAGGGAGGCCTGGCGTGCCGCGATTCGTGGGGTTGCAAACAGTCAGACACGACTGAGCGACTGAACTAAACTGAACAGAAATTGATTAATATTTGTTAAATGATGCTTTCATGCCATCCATTTGACACTTAAAATTTGTCAGAAATGCCAATAAACCCTTTACATTTATGACATCATTAGACTCTCACAGCCTTTTAACTGGGGATTTGGATTCCCCTTAGATATGGGAGGAAAGAAGTGAAGAAGTGTTAGTCGCTCAGTCATGTCCGACTCTCTGTGACCCCATGGGCAGTAGCCCACCAGGCTCCTCTGTCTATGGAGAGGAATGGGTTGCCTTTCCTTTCTCCAAGGCATCTTCCTAACCCAGGGATTGAATCCAGGTCTCCTGCATTGCGGACAGATTCTTTACCATCCGAGCCACCAGAAAAGGAAGGGTCCAAATCATGTGGGTTTGTGTCTTGTTTGTTTAATTTTTATTGGAGTACAGGTGACTTGCAATGTTATGTTAGTTTCAGGGATACAGTAAAGTGAATCAGTTGTCCACATACATGTATCCCCTCTCATGGGGGTTTTGTGATTTGTCTCAGACCGCACTGGTGATAAATAGCTATTGGGAGCTGGAATCCAGCTACTGTGAAATTCAAAGCATCTGTTTTTTTGTCTGTTTGTTTATTTGTTTGAGATGTAACTGATATATAACCCTGTGCATCTTTAAGGTGTACTCATGTTGATGTGATACATTGATATAGTGTACCACCTTGCTAACACTTCCATCCTGTCACATAATTATCATTTCTTTTTCGTGATGAGAACAATTATGATCTAGCCTCCTAGCATCTTTGATGTATACAATACAGTATTGCTGACTGTAATCCCCAAGCTGTGTGTTAGATTCCCAGGACTTACTCATCTACAAGTTGCAAGTTTGTTCCCTTAAATGTCATCTTCCTAGGTCCCCTACCCGCCCGCCCCCCAGCCCCTGTTAACCTCCTATCTACTCTCTTTTTGTGGGTTCCTCAGATTTTTTTCGACTCAATATTACATGGCCCCGTGAATATAACCAGCGTTTGAGCTAAGCCGGGAGGCAGACAGCCCAGCCTCTGGCGGTACGTGAGCTCTTGGGTTATCCCATAGGGGAGAACTCACCGATTCAGATATCCTTTCCATCATGGGTGCATCTGCATGTGAGTACAAGGAAACAAAATTCAGTTCTCAGATGGCAAGAGTCAGATCGTAGTCTCTCCATCCCAAGGTTCCTCCTGGTTTCGCCCCTGATGACTTACCTGCATTCCTCTGCTTGTGCACTTTGGAATGGCAGGTTCTGAGAAAGAGAAGTGTGTTAAAGTCTGGGATCTGGAGATCTGGGGGAGGGGCTAGGGCTGACAGAGGTGGGGCTGGGCATGAGAGTCACTGATGTGCAGACCGAGTCTCTGAAGAGCGGCGTGGGAGTTAAGGCAGGGCGTGAGGTCTGCCAAGTGTACCTACCTCTTGGTGGATTCTTCCTGTGATGAATCTATTTAAAAAGAAGAAGAAGAAGAAGAATGTATCTCCCTAGAGAATCCTTCTCTTTAGTCCCCTTCCTCGGAGGGTGAAACCCGCGCTGCTCTGAACTCACCTTGCTGAGTGCACCTGTAGATGAAGAAGATGGCGAGGAAGAGGAGAAAGAGGGAGAGGCAGCTGAAGGTGGCCACGAAGACAACCCTGGTGTCTGGCGGGAGAACAACGGGGTCAAGGTCAGACTGGCTCCGGGAACGCAGAGCAGCTTCGCCGAAGAGTCACAAGGAGCCAGACAGCCTGGCTTCAAGACTCGGAGCTACCACTCCCCAGCCGGAACGTCCAGTCGCTTGAGAGAATTTGCGTCATCTCCCTAAGTTTTTGTTTTCCCGATCAAAGTGAGGATAGCAATTGTGGCTGCTTTACTGGTTGGTAGAGAGATGGAGTGGGTCAGTGGCTACAGAGAGGGCTAGCACAGTGCCCGGCAGATGGCAAACACCCAGTAAACGATTCATCCCAAGGAATAATACTTATTAACTGTGAGCCATTAGCACTCATAAGTGTTTTCTCATTAAAAAAATTTTTTGGTATTAATTTTTTTTTCTTTTTTTTGCCATGAAGCTTGCAGGATGTTGGTTTCCCAACTAGGGATTGAACCCAGGCCTTTAGCATGAAGGCGGAGTCCTAACACTGAACCACCAGAGAATTCCCTATTCTTTCTCATCTTGACAATAAGTACACAAGGTAAGTTTGCCATCCCCATTTCATTCATACATAAATCAAGTACCTGGAATTAAACTGAGTTCCCCAGACTCACATGGCCGGGATGGGCTTTGGACGCTGCTGTGTCTAACCTTTCTGGCCAGTCTGCCCTAGGGTTGGGGTAGCTCTGTGCTGAACCCTGGGTGTGGATATTCAAGAGAAGTGACATTCTGAACCTTTTCCAGGTAAGTCATGATCTGGTGAGAAACACATTTACCCAGACTAACTGTGATGCTACAGAAGTGAAGACAAGTCCAGGAACAGATGGATCAAAGTCCAAGAATCATTTTCTCAAGGTAAGGAAGCAACCTCAGTGTCCATCGATAGATGAACAGATAAAGAAGATATGGTATATATGCACATACACTCCCAATGCTGGGGGTCTGAGTTCAATCCCTGGTCCGGGAACCAGATCCCACAAGCTGCAACTAAGATCTGGTGCAGCCAAATAAATAAATATTTTAAAAAACAAAAATAAACTCATAAAAACAGAGAGTAAAACAGTGATTGCTAGAGGCTGGGGAGTGGCGTGTTTGGGGAGAAGTTGGTCAAAGAGCACAAACAAGTTTCAGATGACTGAGGTCTGAGGATCTAATGGACAGCGTGAACCACAGTTGATGGCACTGTAGCGTATCATGAAACTTACTAGGAGTGTTCTTAAGTGTTCTCACCAAAAAACAAAAAAAGCAAATACATGACATGAGGTGAAAATTTCACTTTTAGTGCAAGCCGCTCAGTTCTGTGTGACTCTTTGTGACCCCATGGACTATATAGTCCATGGAATTCTCCAGGCCAGAATACTGAGTGGGTAGCCTTTCCCTTCTCCAGGGGATCTTCCCAACCCAGGGATCGAGCCCAGATTTCCCACATTGCAGACAAATTCTTTACCAGCTGAGCCACAAGGGAAGCCCCTGACATGACTTGAGTTGAGTGATATGCAATTAACTCTATGGGGAGACTCCTTCTACAATGTATTGTTGTTGTTTAGTTGCTAAGTCATGCCCAACTTTGCAATACCTTGGGCTGTAGCCCGCCAGGCTCCTCTGTCCATAGGACTTCCCAGGCAGGAGTACTGGAGTGGGTCACTGTTTCCTTCTCCAGGGGCTCTTCCCCACCCAGGGATCAAACCCGAGTCTTCTGCGTCTCCTGCATTGCAGGCAGATTCTTTACCACTGAGCTACCAGGGAAGCCCCTATCCTGTATCAAATCATCACATTGTACAGTTTAAATATCTTACCACTTTATTTTTCAATGATACCTCCATGAAACTGGGGCGGGTGGGGGGCGGTGAGGGGAAGGAGGTGTAGGGAAGGGAGGTAAGGAGAGCTCCCTTGAAGAGAGCCGTGATGATGAAGACCGCTGACTCGGAAGCGCTCAGCGGAGCATCTGATTCACGGTGTGGGATAAGGAGGGTGCAGCGATCAGGATCATTCTCTCACGCGGCTCCCGCCCACACCCACCTCGCTCTGTAACAGATGCTGTCAGCGCGCCTCCGCCCATGGTCCTCCAGATTCCTTTGCCGTTCTTAGGCATGCTCGGTCACGGCTTCTCCCCCTTCCCAACGTGAGCACTTTGGTGTCTGTTGGCGGTAGTGGTGGTGGGGTACTGCCCAGAAAACGCCTTGGGAACCTAGGTGGCCCAGGGACACCCCTTTGCCAACAGCAGACATCTGTGGGAGCCACGCAGCCCCATGGATTGGAAAAGTGGGGCAGAAACACCCGTTCCTGGATGGCAGCGAAGGAACATCAGCCTTTCCTTATGCTCTCAGCCCTCCCCTTGGTGACCCAAGAGTTTATCTCATGGTGCCGTTCGCTAGAAGCGGGAAGTGAATGATTGCAAGGCTGTCCACAGCCCACTGAACTGGGTTTGCCCTGAGGTGGCCACATATCCTGGCCAAATTTCACATCAACTATTGACACATTGCCAAAATTAACTTGCAGAAGGTCTGTGACACTGATCTAAGGCATCTGACCAAGCAGTGGGATACAGCTTGACACAGGGCATGAAATCCCAGAAAGGAAGCCTGGCCTTGTGGCAACGTTAGGGGATGAACTTCATCGTCATCTCTGCCCAGAATTAGAGCAGAGGGTTCCTTTCTAGTAGCCTGGAGGCGCACGTATGTAGGCTGGAGACAGCCTCTTGTTGTCGTTTAGTCACTCAGTCATGTCTGACTCTTTTGTGACCCCATGGACTGTAACCCACCAGGCTTCTCTGTCCAAGGGATTTCCCAGGCAAGAATACTGGAGTGGGTTGCCATTTCCTTCTCCAGAGATGGGGTATCTGTTGCTCAAAAAGTTAAACACAAAGTTACCATGTGTCCCAGCAGTTTTACTCCTAGGTAGTAGATACCTGATTAGGGGCTTCCCTGGTGCCTCAGACGGTAGAGAATCTGCCTGCAATGCAGGAGACCCAGGGTCAACTCCTGGGTCGGGAAGATCCCCTGGAGTAGGAAATGGCAACACACTCTAGAATTCTTGCCTGGGGAATCCCATGGACAGAGGAGCCTGGTGGACTGTAGTCTACAAGGTCATAAAGAGTCAGATACAACTAAGTGACTTATACTTTCTCCTTTCTTCTTTCAGATACGTGATGGAAAGCAGGGGCTCAGGTACCCATACACCTATATCCATGGCAGCATTATTCACAATAGCCAAAAGGTACAAACCACCCAAATGTCCATCAACTCATGAATGGATAAACAAAATGTGGTCTGTCCATATGATCGAATATTATTCAGCCATGAAAAGGATGGAAGTACTGATACGTGTTACAACATAGGTGAACCTTGAAGACATTGTAGGAAGTGAAAGAAGCCGGTCTCCAGACCTCATACTGTGGGACTGCGTTTTATATGAAATGTCCATAATAGGCAAAACCATAGAGTCAGAGAACAGATTGGCAGGTCGTGTTGGGAGCCCAGGGAGTGAAGACCGACTGCTGGATGGAACTTTATTTCGGGAATTAGACTGGTGGTGTAGAGCCCTGTGAGTGTGCCAAATGCCTCTGCCTTGTACACTTTAGAAGGGTGAATTTATGGGATGTGAATAATATACCAACTAAAAAAGAAAAGCAATGACAGAAGAGCTAAAAACATGAACCCTTCAACTTTCCATCTCCCATTTCTGATACTTCCAAGCTCTCCGACTCTGTCAGATTTCAGATCTCTCCAAGAAACTGTGGAACACATTGTGTTCACAGAGCCAGTCATTAGCCTGCTAATACTGAATAAAAATGTTTTCGAAGGCAAATACATATTTTGGAAGGACAGGATGCAGGAAATCTTTTTTTTTTTTTTTGGCTACGCCACATGGGATGGAACCCCTGCGATGGAAGTGTGGGGTCCCAATCACCGGGCCACCAGAGAATTTCCAAGGATGTCTTTTTTTTTTTTTTTTGCCGATTACCTAACACTCCAAGGATGTCTTTTTAAAAATTATTTCTGTTATACTTGCATAGACTCTAATGACAACCTTGAACAATTTTGACCCTGTGGAGCAGATTGCAGGAAGGTTATGCGTTGCTGAAAGAAAAAACGATCAAGCATCTAGGTAAATTCCCTGTTTGTCCTGTGGTTAGGACTTCCAGCTTCCACGTTCCGGGACCTGGGTTCGCTCCCTGGTTGGGGAATTGCTTGTATATCCTCAGTCACCAAGTCGTGTCCGATTCTTTGTGACCCCATGACTGTAGCCCACCAGGCTCCTCTGTCTGTGGGATTTTCCAGGCAAGAATACTGGAGTGGGTTGCCATTTCCTCCTCCAGGGGGTCTTCCCAACCAGAGATTGAATCTGAGTCTCCTTCACTGGCAGGCGCATTCTTTACCACTGAGCCACCTGGGAAGCCCAGGACGGGGAATTACGATCCCCCAAGCTGCATGGCACAGCAAAAATGAATCCGTGATGGATAAGCCCATTTCAGTCTAAGCCTTCAGAAAGCCTTAGTTTTTATGAGAATTTCTCCTAAAGGAAATCAGTCCTGACTATTCATTGGAAGGGCTAATGCTGAAACTAAAACTCCAATACTTTGGCCATCTGATGCGAAGAGCTGACTCACTTGAAAAGACCCTGATGCTGGGAAAGATTGAAGGTGGGAGAAGGGGACGACAGAGGATGTGGTGGTTGGATGGCATCACCGACTCAGTGGACATGAGTTTGAGTAAACTCCAGGAGTTGATGATGGACAGGGAGGCCTGGCATGCTGCAATCCATTGAGCCACAGAGAGTCGGACATGACTGAGCGACTGAACTGAACTGGACTGAAGGTAGAATCTTATTCAATTCTTCGTGGAAAACCAGTATCAGAAAAAAAAAAATTAACATTCACTGTTTTTTGAGAACTTGAAAGTTTCAGCAAGTGTTTGATCATACATCATCCCAAAGCATAGGCTCCGCAGGTCCTGGTTCCATTCCCCAAACCAGTCATTCCGACTCACCCCCTTTCTTCCCGAAACTCCACCAGAGCTTTTCACCACGTAAAAGAGCAGATGATGTACCTTGTGCTGTTTTATTCACCAGCGTTTTCAGAGGGGGATATAATTGGGGGAAACAAGTCCCTTTTAATTATGTTACCTATCTGTGAAGAGGCAGGTTTGCTTTCCTCTTGGCTCCCTAGAAAAGAGGAAAGGAGAAAAGGAATCACAATGTTTATATGGGAACCTTGGGGACATAAACCCTCGTGTTCCATTTACAGACATCGTGCCCTCTTTGGGATGAAGAGAGGAGAGTGTTTTTTTCATTCCCCAGGTGCTCACTGGGTCCCCAAACCCGGGCCAGAGCACTAGGTTAGTCTTCTTGGAGCTTGGTGTTATTTTAATAACAAAAATATTTATGGATGACCCTACTAATCCCCCACCTCCCAATCCTATCCCAGGAAAGAGCACCAGCATTTTGCAAGTATTCTCTTCCATTTGGTAGGTTGCTGTTTCATATTGATGATTGTTTATTTTGCTGTGCAGAAGATTTTTTGGTTGATATACTGTTGTTGTTCAGTTGCTAAGTCATGTCTGACTCTTGGTGATCCCATGGACTGCAGCACGCCAGGCTCCCCATCTCAGTTTTTTTTTTTTTCATTTATTTTCATTAGTTGGAGGCTAATTACTTTACATCATTGCAGTGGTTTTTGTCATACATTGAAATGAATTAGCCATGGATTTACATGTATTCCCCATCCCGTTCCCCCCTCCCACCTCCCTCTCCACCCGATCCCTCCCTATCTCAGTTTGGTCAAATTCATGCCCATTGAGTCGGTGATGCTATCTAACGATCTCATCCTCTGTCGTCCCCTTCTCTTTTTGCCTTCAATCTGTCCCAGCATCAGGGTCTTTTATAATGAATTGGCTCTTCGCATCAGGTAGCTAAAGTATTTATTTTTGCTAATTTTCTGTAGATAAGATCACATCTGCAGATGAAGGCACTTTTACTTCTTCCTTTCCAATTTGAATGCCTTTCTTCCCCCTGTCTTGCCCAATTGTTCCAGAGAGGACTTCCAGTGTTACATTGAATTGAAGTGGTGGGCATCTTTTCCTTATTCCTGATATCAGAGGAAAAGCTTTCAACTTTTCACCATTAAGCATGACCTCAACTGTGGGCTTGTTATATTGGCCTTTATTGTGTTGAAGTATGTTCCTGCTACACCCAATTTATTGAGAGTTTTTATATTGAAATGATCTATTTTATCAAAAATTTTTACATATGTTAAGATGAACATATGATTTTTATCCTTCATTCTACTAATGTGTGTATCACACTTATCGACTTGTATATTGAACCATCCTTGGGTACAAAGGAGAACTCTCACTTGATCATGTTGTGTGAGTCTTTTAATGTAGTGTTAAAATTGATTTCCAAGATGTTGTTGAGAACTTTCACATCTGTACTCATCAGGGATATCGGTTTATAGTTTTCTTTCAGTGTCCTTGTCTGGTTCTGACATCAAGGTGATGCTGGCCTTGTAAAATGAACACAGGAGTGTTCCTTCCACTGTAGTTTTTGGGAAGAGTCTGGGAATGACTGGTGTTATTTCTTCCTTAAATGTTTGGTGGAATTCACCAGTGAAACCATCTAGTCCTGCGCTTTTCTTTGTCAGGAGTTTTGATTGCTGATTCAATCTCTTTATCTGTTATTGATATGTTCCAGTTTTCCATTTCTCCATACTTCAGTCTTGGTTTGTAAACGTCCGCAAACGTTCTCCTGTCTGTAAGTACTACCCACATCCGTGTTCTCCCAGACGAGGGCCAAGAGAGGCTGGAATCAGGTTACTGGTTCCACGACTGGTACTGAGGTCTGTCTGCCTGTTATCCAACGCCCAGGCAGGTGAGGCCCCTCCTGGGGCCTTTGGTGTCTGGTGGCGGATCCCACAGCTCCCACGAGGCACTTTTGCTCACGAATGAGTGCCAAATTTTAGTTGTTGGAGTGAGGGTACAAAAATAAGGAATGGCAGACCTCCCTGGTGGTGCAGTGGGTAAGAATCCGCCTGCCAATTCAGGGGACACAGCTTCGATCCCCGATCCAGGAAGATTCTACATGCCGTGGAGCAGCTAACCCCGAGAGTCACAACTGCTGAGCCCACGAGCTGCAATCACTGAGGCCCTCGAACCTAGAGCCCATGCTCTGCAACAAGAGAAGCCCCCGCGATGAGAAGCCCGCGCACCGCAGCAAAGGGTAGCCCCCATTCACCCCAACTAGAGAAAGCCCGTGTGCAGCAGCAAAGACCCAGCACAGCCACGAATTAATTGATTGATTATGTTTTTAAAAGAAAAAGAAAAAAAAATCACAGGCTCAAAATGGAATCATTTGTGTAGACCGTGCTAGGGCTCAATACCTAATCTAGTTGAAGCTTTGAAGCCCATGCCCAGAAATGTCTTAAATAGTCAGTCGGGAATTTTTAGGTCAGCACCACTGAGGTCATCTGTCACAGGGACCCTTCCTTCCCCCAGAGGATCATCGGTTAATCTGCCACGCAGACCCCTTTCTCTACTCCATAGGTGGTGATGGTGTTCAGTCACTATGTGCTAAGTCACTTTAGTCATGTCAGGCTCTTTGCAACCCTGTGGTCTGTAGCCTGCCAGGCTCCTCTGTGGGATTTTCCAGGCAAGAATACTGGAGCGGGCTGCCATTTCCTCCTCCAGGGCATAGCAAAGCACGATTTGCAGAGCACATTTTCAGTTATGCTCTGGGATGGGGAAAACAGCTTCTCGGCAGCAGGTTTCGTGGCTCTATTTTACAATGAGGTGCTCGGGATCAGTGACATCACCTGGATAAAGGCATTGGCTCTCTGACTGCACCCAAGGATTTTATGGCTGGAGGGATCTCTGTGTTACATTTGCCAAACATTCAAGACTAACCTGTTTGAGAAATAAAGAGGGGGATTGTCCGAGGTGAAGGACAGAGAGAAAATATATGCCCAGACCACCTATCAAGGAGCCCAGGACCACCTTAGGCGGGTTAGTCGCTCACTCACGTCCGACTCTTTGTGACCCTGTGGACTGGAGCCCTCCAGGCCCCTCTGCCCATGGGATTCTCCAGGCAAGAACACTGGAGTGGGTTGCCATGCCTTCCTCCAGGGGATCTTCCCGACCCAGATATCAAACCCGCATCTTCTGCATTGGCAGGCGGATTCCTTATCATCTGAGCCACCAGGGAAGCCCAGGCTCCAGGTGAGTGAGGAGGAATTCGGCCGCCTTCCTGATGAGTTCTGCCCTTTATTGCACCCAGAGTCCTGTGACTTCCCCAGCATGAATGTCGCATTCCGGACATCAGACTGGCACGTGAGGGTCACGTTGCTGCCGCGTGCAACCTCTGAGTTGGGCAAGGCATGGAGGAGGGGTTGGTAAGTTTCTCTGGAAAGAATTTGGAGTTTGACTCTTCATCTTGGCGACCACCAAAACCCTCCTAGAATTCAGAGGATGAAAGGGGAAAGGTCGTGAAACTTGGGGTGCGGGAACAGAGTCTAGGTTGGGAGATGACTTACCATTCTTTTCCTCATCTTCATTGCCCAGACAAAGCCCTGGAAGAGAAACACTCATGAGAGAGGAAGTATATGTTTGTCTTTTTTTTTTTTAATTGAAGTATAGTTGATTTGTTGGGTTAGTTTTCGGTGTACAGCAAAGTGATCCAGTTATATATCTAGATCTGCAGATATACATCTAGACAGAGAGTGACTCGGGAGATCCAGCCTTTGTTTCCACTCAAGTGTGGACTCAAAACACGAGCCCCCAAGCTTCACGAGGAAGCAGGCCCCCAAGATTCACGAGGAAGCAGAGACGTGGGAGCCGGCAGTGGATGGAGCCCGCATTAGCTCTGGCTACAGTGGCTGCACTTATAGGCAGGAAATTGGTTTCCAGGTGGTCAGGGGGTAGGGGGTATCCCCAGGTCTTGTGGTCTCTTTTTAGTCCCTCTCTCCTCTGCTTTTAGTCTAAAGTCAACTTGGCTCTGTTATCAGCCAATCTTCTGCTCCAGTGGTAATTCCCATTCTTCCTTTCTTTTTTTTTTAAATAAGCACACGATTGCCTTAGACTCAGTTTTCATCATGAAACCTTACTGAGGACTAGGTGAAAATTGAGAGAGGAGTTCTCTGTTTTTGACAAATAAGATTGTATTAATGTCCATGGCTAATTCATTTCAATGTATGACAAAAACCACTGCAATGTTGTAAAGTAATTAGCCTCCAACTAATAAAAATAAATGGAAAAAAAAAAAGAAACAGAGAGCAAAATTTAAAATAAATAAATAAATAAAAATTAAAAAAAAAGATTCTATTAACGTGTGCATGTGATGACTGGATGCACATATGTATTGTTCAATGACCACCACCATGAAGCTAATTAACAAATAAGTCAGCTCACATAGTTACCTTGTGTGTGTGTGGGGGGGGGGGGCAGGTAATGTTTAAGATCCACTCTCTGAGCCGATTTCAGTATTATTAACTATGGTCACCATGCTGGTCATTAGATCCTCAGAACTTATCTTTCTTTTTAAAAAATATCTCTTTATTTTGTAATTGCTTATTTGGCTGTGCTGGGTCTTAGTTGCAGCATATGGGATCTAATTCCCCGACCAGGGATCAAACCCGGGCCACCTGGACTGGGACCATGGAGGCCTAGCCACTGGGCCACCAAGGAAGTCCTGTCTTTCTTAATAAAGGGCCACAGTGGACATAGGCAGAGAACTGGCTGCAACGGACATGCTTGCCACTAAGAAGAGACATACTGGCATGTAGGGTAGCTTGAAAAAGCAAAGGATAAAAGAATCACTCCTTGAAGTCTTCGTAGAATTCCGATGTAGGGAGCTGTAGGCAACACAAGTAAGCATATTCATCTGGAAGTAATTGCAGTAAATAACTACCAGTCAGTGAGAATCTATCATTTGACAGACTCTTCACATACGTCAGCCATGTGCCCACTTGTATTATTTAGTGGGTCCTCTATGGCAACTGACATTTACCATACAGCTACCCTCTCTGCCTGACTCAGCCAGGCATCATCCATTTAACATTTAGTATGGGCTCTGGAGAATGAAATGGCAACCCACTCCTGTATCCTTGCCTGGAGAATCTCATGGACAGAGGAACCTGGCGGGCTACAGGCCACAGGGTCGCAAAGAGTCGGACACGACTGAGGCACTGAGCAGCAACAGTGGTCTTTAAATACACCGCGTGGAGAGCTGCTCGATTTCCAAGCTAGAAAGGGAGGAGGAGAGTGACACTAGAATCTATAGTTCCCCAGAGAAGAGGAAAAATTACTTTGATGTTGTGACATAATAAGAAACACATTGGGTCTTTGTCCCTGGTTCCGGTACAAAGCTCCTCAAACTCTTAAAATTCCCTGAGTGTTGTGAGAGGGAAAGCTGTCTTTTGTTATGTTAATATAACTTTTGGAAAAGTCTCTAGGTAACCTAAGGATGAGTGTTGTAAGAGGGAAAGCTGTCTTTTGTTATGTTAATATAACTTTTGGAAAAGTCTCTAGGTAACCTAAGGATGGTGGCCGGTTGCCAGGGAAACAACGAAGTGATTAGAGGGTTGGAACTGTCAGTCTTACCCACCCCCCCACCCCCAACCCCGACCTCCAGGAAGGGAAGAAGGGCTGGAGGTTACCAATTGCCAGTGATTCAATGAATCATGCCTATGTCAACTAAGAAAATATGCACAACCTAAAAGTTGAGAGTTATGTTGTATTCATGAGATATTCTTAGGACTTCAAGCCCAGGAGGCAGCATCTCAGGTAGTTCGGCATCTCTCAGATGCTCAGCATCTTTCAGCAGTTCCCTGAGAGAACTGCTGGGGGTGGGGGTGGGGGGGCGGTGGGAAGGATATGTATGAGTTTTGCAACAAAGGGCAGGAGGTCAGAACAAAATGTTACCGTTAATAAAAGAAAATCAGATGTCTCAAGTTAAAGAGTTAGTGCTTTGCTCAGTATGGGAAGATGCAAGCGTCTGGGCTCGCGGCAGTCATCCCTTTGATATGGACCTCAGCTGTCTGCTGCCAGCATCCCTGTGTTTTCTGATCCCTGAGTGCCCTCAGGGCTCACCCTCAAGTGTCTTCAATCACTGATAGTCATCCTTTGTTTACTGATATGGCAGGAAATATTCCGTTTCTCATCTGTGTAGTGAAGCCTCCATAGAAACTCAAAAGGATGGGTTAAGAGAGCTTCTGTGTTGGACACGTGCAGATTTTTCAAGTGTGATGTGCTCAGAAGCCCTTTCCTCATACTTGGCTCTGTGCACCTCTTCCATTTGGCTGTTCCTGAGTTAAATCCTTCTATGTACTGTGCTTAGTCAACTCAGTTGTGTCCAGCTCTTTGTGACCCCATGGACTGTAGCCCACCAGGCTCCTCTGGCCTTGAGATTCTCCAGGCAAGAATACTGAAGTGGGTTGCCATGCACTCCTCCAGGGCATCTTCCCAACCCAGGGATCAAACCCAGGTCTCCCACATTGCAGGTGGATTCTTTACCATCTGAGCCACCCGGAAGCCCAAGAACACTGGAGTGAGTAGCCTAACCCTTCTCCAGGGGAACTTCCTGACTCAGGAATCAAACCAGGGTCTCCTGCATTGCAGGCAGATTCTTTACCTGCTGAGCTACCCGGGAAGCCCAGATTCTTCTATAATAAATTGGTAATCTAGTAAGTAAAATGTTTCTCTGTGTTCCATGTTCTCACAAATTTGAGTTTTAGCAAATTGATGGGCCCAAGGAGGGGTTCCTTAGAACCTTCAATCTGTAGCCAGTTGGACAGAAACACAGGTGGCCACCAGGGCTCATGATTGGCACTTGGAGTGGGAGGGAGGTCATCTTCTAGGACGGAGCCCTTAATCTGTGGGATCTGACGGTATCGCCAGGTAGTTCGTGTCAGAATGGAGTTGAATTGAAGGACAACGAGCTGAGTCACCTGCTTGGTGGTGTGAAAAACCACCCCCTCCATATTCACACACATCAGAACTGGGTGCAGAGTCCTCACTGACATCTGAGAAGTAAAACACTGCCTGCCACATCAGTAAACAAATGGTGTCACCGTCATCCGTGATTGCACACACCTCTGACAGTGAGCTGGTGAGCTCTGAGGCAATGCAGGAAGCAAAGAACGCCTGTCATCCCACAGCCATCAGACTGCAGCCACTGCCCACGGCGAGCCCTGAGGGAGCTCAGGATGTGAAAACACAGGATGCTGGCCCCGGACAGCTGAGGTGTACATCCAAGGAATGACTTCAGTCAGCCCAGACTCTTGCATCTTCCCATACATAGAAAAGCGCTAAATTCCTTAGTTTGAGATATCTGGTTTTCTTTTATTAGTAGTAGTGTTTTGATGTTCAGACCACCTGCCCTTAGTTACAAAACTCCTATCCATCCTGGCTCCCCCCTTCACCTCCTTGAAGCAGTTTTTTCAGAGTTACTTGTGATGCTGTCTCTGGGGCTGGAAGTCCTAAGAATATCCACTGAATAAAACATAACTCTCAACTTTTATGTTGTGCAATTTTTTTCAGCTGACAGTTTACACAAGGTCCTACTGGAGTTGGCTGGAACCCTAACTCAATATGACCGATGTCCTCATAGGAAGTTGGAAGGGCAGGCACCGTTGTGCACCGGGTTGCCAAGATACTGCTCCCAAAGTACAAGCCGTGAGCCTGGCTTCCCTACCTACTACCCTTGACCCAGCTGAATAGGATATATCTCTGGAAACCCAGAAGTCACAAGCCAACCTGTTGGCCATAAGATCCCCATTCAAATGGGAGTACCAGCTTCAATGCAATGACCCTCACCGCTGAGGGCTTATTGAAGATCCTGCCTTGGTTCGTTAGACCTAAGCAAGGTCAACAAATATCTATCCCAGTTTCAGACCCACCCCCAAGAGCTTGGTCTTAGGAGCTCTGTTTGGGATTGGGCCCCTCCTCTTCTAGTTTTATCTTTTCAAAACTGACAGAGATGGGAAAGAAAAACTGATCCAGGAAGGAAAATTGGATTGGACATTTAACATCTCATATTAATTCTGGCATTGATGACTATATGTACTGTTGTTTAACTGATCCTATTAATCATTAAAAAAAGATAAGAGGTTGGGAAGAGACCTGGAGACAGAACATGCCGAGGGAAGATGGCCATGTGACTATGTGAGGCTCCACAAGCCAAGGGGTGCTAAGGATTCCGAGTCATCTCCCAGCCAGAATCGAGGAGGGAGGCGTGGAACAGACCCTCCCTTGGAGCCCCGAGGAGGAATCAGCCCTGCTGACACCCTGGTTCTGGACTCCTGGCCTCCAGAATGGTGGGCAAATAGATGTCTGTTGTTTTAATCCACCCAATTTGCAGTCGTCTGTTACAGCAGCCCAAGGAAATAAGCGTGGGGAGAATGAGGTCTGTCTCTTGACTGCCCCATTTATTCTGTCCAGAGACTGGAGGTTTGGGGTATGGTGACCGACAGCCGCCTCTCACACTCACATGTGTGTGTGGGATGGGCGTGACCTCAAAGGGAAGGGCTTAGCCCAGAAGAAGGAGGAAGGAACCCGCGGGTAGGAGGGGGGCAGATGGTGAGTCCTGGTGTCCTCCCCGCCGCCCCCCTCCCAAAGCCGGCTCCACTCACAGAGGAGGAACTGGGCACTCAGTTGGGTGGGGCTGCCTTTCCAAAGTCTGGAGAGACCAGGCCAAGAGCATAGTCTAGGGCTTCCTTCCTACAGGCTGAGGTCTGTTTGATCACCTTATGTTCAAGTTGAACATCAGCTTAAAATCAAGCTCAGGATATGGCTGATCAGAAAATGTTCTTATCCACCACTACCCGCCTTTGTATCAAGAAGTGAAGTGTAATTTGCTCAGTCATGTCCGACTCTTTGTGACCCCATGGACTGTAGCCCACCAGGCTCCTCTGTCCATGGGATTCTCCAGGCAAGGATACTAGAGAGGGTGGCCATTCCCTTCTCCAGGGGATCTTCCTGACCCAGGATTGAATCTGGGTCTCTGCACCGCAGGCAGATTCTTTACCATCTGAGCCCCCAGGGAAGCCCCACCTTGGTGTCATAGGGAAAAACAAATCTGACTCCATATTGGGTCCGTTTCTTTTACTTCAACTGTTGTATTCTGTTGTTTTTGCTACAAGTTGCCTACAAGCTTAAGGTGTATTTAGTGCTCTTCTCCATGAACCCCGCTTCTCATGCCTGATTCTTGAGCTAGAGTACCTTTGCTTAAGCTCACAGGAAATATCCTGACCAGGCCCACCTGTGAATGACTGCAGGAAAGAAGAAATTAACACATCCCTCCTGGATTCTGGCCAGAAGTATGAAATATTTGCAATAATTTATTGCCTTTTTTTATTTCATCTCCTCACTTCCCCCTCTTTGTTCTATAAAAGTAACTAGCATCCAGACCCCCAGCAAGATGGTTCTTTGGGACATTAGTCCACCATCTTCTTGGTCAACTGGTGCTATATTTTTGCCCCAAGAACTCATCTCTCAAGCTATTGGCCCATCATGCAGTGAGCATTACAAGCTTGGACTCAGTAGTAACATGTCTGTTCTATATTCCTTGTTCATAACCAAACTCACAGACCTTCACACCCTGTAGACCCTGCCTCCCATATGCCAATGGGACATTCAAGGCAAGATGGTGGTACGTAGATGATACAGACTTGGAGGTCCCATCTGAGCTGTGCATTATTGAGCCAAGTGCCCTGAGGGTGTTACCATATGTCTCTGCTTCTTATCCCTTATGTGCAGGCACCAAAACCAGGGCATGCAGACACCAAAGCCCGCAAAACTGTGAGAGGTCGCTTGTACCTAGTACACGGAGGCCACCATTTCTGTACTTGCCACATTCCCCGTGGTAACCTCCACTACGCGGTGAATATTCTCACCCTCAAACCCATCTGTCCCAGCCCTGGAGACTCACCGAGGCAAAGCAGGGACAGGAATTTTGTGATCATGGTGTCCCTTCTGTCCGGACCAAGATCCCGCCTTCAGTTCTGCAGTTCAGAGGAAGACATGGGCCTGGGCGACCACAGCCCCCTCCTGCCCTCTCGGTCCCGGGGATGTGCAGCCAGAGGTTTCGCCCTGACCCTTGGCTCCTCCACCATCTGGTGTACAGTTTCCTTCTCACAACTGACTCAGGAAGCCAGAAGCCACCAACGACAGCATCTTCCTCGTAAATCTAGTGTGTGTGGCTCCACCCACCCTGAGACCTCTCTGATCTCGTCTGAAGTCTGGCCCAAGACGTTTTCTTTTAAAATAGCTTGTCTTTTCAGAGAAGGAGGAGTACCCTGTGAGATCCTATGTGGACTCTAAAAAGAAATGATGCACATGAACTTACAACACAGAGACTCACAGACTTAGAGAGAATGAACTTATGTGATGGGAGGCTGGGGGAGGGATGAGGGGAAGGGATGGTTAGGGAGTTGGGGACGGACATGTACACACAGCTATATTTCAAATGGATAACCAACGAGGTCCTACTGTGGAGCACCGGGAACTCTGCTCGGCGTTACATGGGAACTTGGGAGAGAATGGATACATGCGTATGTTCAGCTGAGTCCCCTCACTGTTCGCCTGAACCTTTCACAGCATTGTTAATCGGCTAGACCCCAAAACTAAAGAGTTTAAAAACATAACTTGTCTTTGAAGTAGCTTTACTTTAACTTTTTAATTGAAGTATAAATAGCTTATATTAGTTTCAGGTGTACCACCTAGTGATTCAGTATTCTTATGAATTATACTCCATTAAAACTTACTACTGGGACTTCCAGTGGTAAAGAATCTGCCTTCCAAAGCAGCGTACATATGTCCCATCCCTGGTAAGGGAACTAAGATCCCCATATGGGGCAACTAAGCCTGTTTGCCTCAACTGGAGAATCCGTGTGCCACAATGAGAGGTGCCCATGTGCCGCAATAAAGACCCAGCAGTCTAAATAAATAGATTTTCTTAAAGTTATTACAAGACAGGGCTTCCTTGGTGGCTCAGTGGTAAAGGATCTGCCTGCCAATGCAAGGACATGGGTTCAATCCCCGGTCCGGGAAGATCCCACATGCCGTGGGACAACTAAGCCCGTGTGCCACAGCTACTGAAGCCCGTGCGCCCTAGAGCCTGTGGTCCACGGCGAGACAAGCCACCGCAGTGAGAAACCCACACACATCACCAGAGAGGAGCCCCCGCTCTCCGCAGCCAGAGGAACCCCGGGCAGCAATGGAGACCCCGCACAGCCGAAACAAACACATAATAAGTCTAAAAAATGTTATTACAAGATAATGGCTATACCCACTATGCTCCACAGCATATCCAATTGCTTATCTATTATAGTCGTGTCCAACTCTTTGCAACCCCACAAACTGTAGCCCGCCAGGCTCCTCTGTCCATGGGATTCTCCAGGCAAGAATACCAGAGGGGGTCGCCGTGCCTTCCTCCAGGGGATCTTCCCGACCCAGGGACCAAACACATACCTCTGGCTTCTTCTGCATTGCATGCAGGTTCTTTACCCTGAGCCACCTGGGAAGTCCAAGATAGCAGTTATTGTATGTATATAACTGCTATCTTATTTGGTCACCGACCTATAAAATTTAAAGTGTTTCATGCCCATGAATACTTCCCCACAACATAGTTATAAGCTGTTTCCCCAACACGATTTATTTTTTATTTTTGGTTCTTTTGTTAGTTTATACATTATCATACCATCTTGGAACACTGAGATTTCATTTTTACAGTCCAACTTGATTTATATTGCTGTATCATACTCTGTGGAAGTAAAAACTTTTATCTAACCAGTCTCCTATTACTGTACATTTATATTACTTCCAACTCACTTGCTACTATAACCATAATGAAAATAAATAACTTGTAAATCTTTTGGCTGGACTTAATTATTCCTTTGGGTAAACTACTGGGGATATAAATTCTCAGGCTGAAGGCTGTAAATGTTGGAGGGGGAGATGAGTTTCATAGCCTGCTTGCCCTTGGTAACTAGTATAAATGTTGGAGGGGGAGATGAGCTTCATAGCCCGCTTGCCCTTGGTAACTAGTATAAATGTTGGAGGGGGAGATGAGCTTCATAGACCAGTTGCCCTTAGTAACTAGTATTGATTCATCATTCTAAAACCTGATCATGTGTCTTTTTCCAAATTCTGTTTAGCATTAGATTTTAGCATGAAAAAATTGTAAAATCAATAATGCAAGATGACATTTTATTTGCTTTTCCTGCATTGGGTGGTTTCTTGGAATAGCAAATGTCTTTCTTTTTCTTTTCTGAACTTTTCACGTGGAATGCAGTCAGTGAGAGAGGCATGTCAAAATAAAAAATACAGTTTTAGGTTTAGCTCCTTTAAAACTATCAAGAATTCTTTTATAGATTTTGTATCTATATTATTGGGCTTCCCTGTTGGCTCAGCTGGTAAAGAATCTAGTGGCAATGTGGAAGATCTGTGTTCGATCCCTGGGTTGGAAAGATCCCCTAGAAAAGGGAAAGGCTACCCACTCCAGTGTTCTGGCCTGGAGAATTCCATGGACTGTATCGTCCATGGGGTTGCAAAGAGTCGGATACGACTGAGCAACTTTCACTTTCATCTATATTCTTGGATCTTGGATTCTATATTATTGGATTCTATATTATTAGCTGCTTACAGAGTTGTGGTTATTATATATTTCTCTTGAACTATTTTTATCATTAGGGAATATGCACCTTCATATCTGAATACTATTTCTTGCTTTAAAATCTACTTTATATGATGTTAATATAGACATACCACCTTTGTTTTGCTGCTGTTTGCATGGTATATCTTTCTATATCTTTTTGCTTTCAACACATCTGTGCATATACTTAAAGTGTTTCTCTTGAAAAAAAACAACATTTATTTAGGTCTTTTTAAAACATCAATTAGATCTTTTCACTGAATTTCAGGGTCCATTGATGTTCTATGTAATTACTTATTTCTATAAATTACTTATTTATAATTACATCTTATAATTAGGATGTATATATATATCCTAATTTATAATTAGGATGTAAGTTTATAATCTTGCTAATCTTTCTATTTGCTCATCTCTCTTCTATCTCCTTATTTCCAACTTCTTAGTTTTAAAAAATATTTTTACTGTGTCATTTTAGCTTTTTTCTGCTTAACCAACTCTTTTTCAGCTTCACCAATAATGTGCCATTTTAACTACTCAATTTTCTTTACTTCTACATATTTTTTATACTATTCTTTTTGAGATGACTCTATTGATAATTTATACTTGACTTAATAACGGCTATGTCATATTTTCCGATGTAAAAAAAGAATTTTAAACAACCTAAGAGAAACACCTCACATCACAGTCTTTCAACAATATCCACTATCATTGTACCCCTTCCCTCGATTCTAGCGTCCAGTATTTTTCCTACTGGCCAAGAACTTTTCAACTTCTCTATGTCAACTTTTTCCGTCTCCCCAGCAGAATCCTGGCTTTCAGCATTTCTGGCTTATCCAGATGTGTTAGAGTTCATTCAGATATGTTAGAATTCATCCAGGTGTGTTAGAATTCTTCCAGGTGTGTTAGAATTTGAGATGGGAATTTGACTGTGTTCAAAGATTCTGTACTGAGAGTGGGCTCAGGTAGAAGGAGAGGATAAGAGGCTCGGGGGGATTCTGCGGAGCCGAGAAAGGTCCAGGGGTTTGGGGGTCGAGCACAGCCCATGAGAAGCCCTGAGGTCGGGGTGGAGGAGCTGGGAGCAGAGCAGGGCCCAGGGTCCAGCGTGGGGCATGTGCACTCCCGTGGGCGGGAGCCCAGGACGGCCCCAGGGGGCCAGGAGGTGACGAGGCAGGCTCCAGGCTAGTGTCTGTGTCTCTTCCTTGCAGGGCTGTGTGCAGATGGAGGAAGATCTGGGGTCCATGGACCCTCCTGATCCTTCCCTCCCAGGGACCCGCATTTTCCCCTCCCCTCCTTGGCTTCCCGAGAGCAGGTGGGAGGGGCGCCCCCAGACCTGAGACCCACTTCCTTCCAGAGGCGCTTCCCAAGCCCTCCCTCAGGGCCTGGCCCGGCTCGGTGGTCCCCGACCGGAGCTCCGTGACCCTGCGATGCGGGGCTCCCACCAGGGACGTAAGCTTCACTCTCAGGAAGGGGGGACGCGTCTGGGAGATGGTCCAGTCACCCGACTCCACAGAGGGCTGGGCTGAATTCCACCTCCCCATGTAACGTCCAGCCACGCGGGAAGGTACTGCTGCGAATACCACGGGACGGGGGACCCCCGCATGAGCTCACGGCCCAGTGACGCCCTGCTGCTGCTGTTGACGGGTGAGGGGGCGCCTGGGAAGGATGGCCGGCCCGGGGCCAGGGGACGAGGGAGGGAGCGGACCAAGAGACGGAGAGCGGGTCTCCCCTCTAGGGTTGTTGGGAGGGGAGATGGAGAGAGGCAGGGACCGAGGTGATGCCTTGGCTTCACCAGGGCTCCTAGGAAGGAAACACATCCTTCCTGGAATCAGAGGGAAAAAGAGGGTGAGATCAGGTATCTGTCCTTCCCCCACTCCATGAGAACCCCCTGCCAAGAGAACAGGGGCAGCAAGGGACCCAAGGCTTCTCTCCGCGACCGCGGAGCCCTCCTGCTCTCACAGGAGGTTCACGCAAACATGAGCCCAGAGGGCCAGAAACTGGGCACGGGTAAGTCCTGTGACGGTGCTCTTTTTTTAATTTAAACTTTTAATTTAAACCTGTAAGTGCCTGGACTTATAAGTCTCTACTGGAGAGGAACTGTAAACGGAGGCCCTTTGTGAAACGTCCCCTTCCCCACCCAAGCCCTGCTCACCACTTGCCCCCATAAAACTTCCACCTGCAGCCTCTGGGTTTTTTGGTGGTTTTTTTGTTTTTTGGGGTTTTTTTTTTTTTTTGCCATTTCCGCCTGTTTTAGATTGTGACAGGTTTTAGAGCCTGATGGCAACCGCGCATCTTCCAGGGAGTTCTTTTTGA